ATACACTGATTTTCTTGGCAAAAAGGAATTGCTATGTGTGCTACTGAATGAGTATCAATTTAATATTCATTTGATTCCAACACTAACCATCTTGGTTTATGCTTAGCCCTTGCTTGTGGAAGTAGCACAACTCTCTTCTCACAACTGTTAAAATAGAAAAATCTGCCTTTGGTTTTGTATTGTTTTTCTCGACCTTCTTCTTCTGGACACAGACTAGGAACCTCGGGTATCATGGGAGGCTTTCGGGAAGGGGCAGCAGTGTATGGGCAAAGGTGCCTTGAATCAGAGCTGGGTTCAAATTCAAGCTCAGCTACTTAATAACTGTGGGAATTTAAGAAAGTCATTTAACCTCTCTGAGCCACAGTTTCTTCTCCTCTTGTGAGGGTGAAGAAAGCTGCAATGGGCTGCCTTGCACCCTTGTGGAAGAACACTTCAAAATTCTGATCTTTCTCTACTTTAGAGTTCAGCAATGCTCCAGCTCTAGACTAAATATAATCTTTAATCCTTGTTGTAATATCTCTTTTACTTCATCCATGATCACTGGGCAGTTCCCAAAGCTCAATATCCTTCATTGCTGGGACCACCCGAAGTATATAAAATGGAGTTAAAGTCAAAATTCTGCTCCCTTTCATTGAACTGTAATAAAGTAATATTACAAGGATTGAATATATCCCCCAAGTTACCAGTATCTGTCAAAAGAAATAACAGCGAATTCTTCCTATACCTTAAAGAAAGACCACTGTGAGTGCTGCAAACACCAAAGACAAAGAGGATTTAAGCAGAAGCTAATCTTAGATAAAAATTCGGTTTCATACGCTGCCATGCATGCAAGCGTGTGTCCAAAGGCAGCATTGTCTTTTAAAAATGAATACAAATTGAACATACTTATCACAAGTTAACAGTGCAGAAGGATTATCATTTTTAATCAGCGTGTTAGGGATTCAATTAAAGTGGATTTTGCTTTAAGAGGGACAGGTGTATGCATATTGTAAAATTGTAGATGAATGTATGTATGCAGCATTGTACAGTGAATTTACAGTATTCTGAAGGTTCAGCCTTTCGATGAGGAATAATTTTGTGAATGTCATTATTTTCCTTCGCCCGAATCTTTATTAAAGCAACATTACATCCCCACTATTCTTTCTCAGGATAACGAGATCAGGATAACAACCATAACTTATGGGTGTCCGTGGCCCCACTTCAAGCAATTTGTTCATTTATGAAATATCAAGAGATTCAGAGACTACAGATAAAGCAGAAGTAGTGTATAAACCTTACAGCAAAGGGAGGCTTAACTTTAAGTCTTTGTCTCTTCCTATTTGGACAGTTATGTGGCACTGCAAAATCTTTCAGACAATTCCAAGCCACTAATGGGGCTGAGGAATGAAGACACCAGTTGAATTTGCAATAGCCATTTTCCATGGTAAATAAGAGTTGAGTAGTCACTCTTTTCATTCATTTGTTCAATCATTTAGCAAATATTTACTGAATTCCCATATGGCAGATACTATTCTAAGTGCTGGGGATAGAGCAAGAAAATGACAAACAAGGTCTCTGTTCTCATTGTACTTATACTGTAATTGTAGAGAAATGCTAAATACATACCTTTATGCATTAATATATGTAAAATAATATATAAGTTAATATGTAAAGCAACCAGAATTATAGTCTCTAGGTCTATAGTTGCCAATATGAGGCAGAGAAATGAAGTAGAATGAGAGAGTGAGTAGAATGAATGTGACTGGGTTTAGTTCAAGTCGTACGTTAAGGCTTCACTGATGAAGTAAGATGTGTGGTGAGATCTGATATTACTTTTAAAGGAAAGGGATGATCCTTGTGGACCCAAAACCTCTTTGTCTCAGATAGATGCAGAAAGCTCTATTTCTGGCCTGGTCCAAACTCAGTGAGTGACTCCTCTGAGTTAGGACTATCTGTCTCTAAAAGACCTTTGTTTGAATAAAAAGTTGTTATTTATAAGCTGAAACCACTAGCCATCATCGCCTTAGTATGAAGTCAGATTGGGTTCAGTCATCTGATAGTTTTAAAGGGACAGAAAATCCATCAGAGAAGGCTGCCTGGAGAAACAGGCTGGGATGGGCCATTACTAACAGTGGGAGTGGGGTAGAGGGGGCTGGGAACAGGCCTGGGAGGCGACCTGAGCCTGTGACCCGGAGCTCTGATGCCAGGTAAAAACATACTTTCCCATGTTGCTGACCATTGGAATATCCTCTCTAGCTTCCGCTATGTTGAAACAGCAGCCTGTGAAGGCTCTTGCAGCCTTACCCCAAAGCAGCTTTTGTAGCTCACACAGAGCCTTTCCCAGTTTCACTGCTGTGGAGGAAGGAGGTTATGAGTGATGAAGGATGAGAACA